CACCCATCCATCCATGCACCCATCCATCCATGCACCCATCCATCCATCCATCCATCCATCCATCCATCCATCCATCCATGCACCCGTCCATCCATGCACCCGTCCATCCATTCACCCGTCCATCCATGCACCCATCCATGGACCCATCCATGCATGCATCCATCCATCCATGCACCCGTCCATCTATGCACCCATCCATCCATGCACCCGTCCATCCATGCACCCATCCATCCATCCATCCATCCATGCACCCATCCATGCACCCATCCATGCACCCATCCATCCATCCATCCACCCATCCATCCATCCATCCATCCATGCACCCATCCAATCCATCCATCCATGCACCCATCCATCCATCCATCCATGCATGCACGCATCCATGCATGCACCCATCCATGCATGCACCCATCCATGCACCCATCCATCCATCCATCCATGCACCCGTCCATCCATCCATCCATGCACCCATCCATCCATCCATCCATGCACCCATCCACGCACACCCATCCATCCATCCATCCATCCATCCATCCATCCATCCGTCCATCCATGCACCCATCCATCCATGCACCCATCCATCCATCCATCCATCCATGCACCCATCCATGCATCCATCCATCCATGCACCCATGCATCCATGCACTCGTCCATCCATGCACCCATCCATCTATGCATCCATGCATCTATCCATCCACCCACCCATTCATTTTCACTACCAGGTGAGATAACCCAGCCCAAGGACAGTGCAGGCAGCTAGCAGGTTACCTGTGTCAGTCCAAGGGGGGAGGCTGGCTGCAGGCCCTCGGCCTCTGTCTTGACCTTGCTGCGCTTGTGAATGGTGATGGGATTCACAGTGCTGCTCACAGCTGATTCACTGCTCTGCTTGTTCTGGGAGGGTGCAGAGGAGAGCTCGTCACATGGGTGCAGGGCTGGGAGGTCCCATATCCAGCGCAGGTCTACCTCCAGAACCTCAGCTCACTGATCATCTGCACCAGACTGGTGGTGGTGTCTCAGAAAACAGCCCACTAGCCACATTTTCCAGCCAAGAACATACCAGGGGCCCAGGATCATGCTGTCAACACCTCCCTCTATGCAGCTGCCACCTCTACTACCCCAAGGGATGGAAGGAAATGGAAGAGAGCCATTCTCTTTGGAAAATGCTGGGCCTCCTTGCTCCTGTCCCAAGGAGGCTCCAGAATGAGGGTGGCTCGCTCCTGCAGCAGGGGATAAGGGCCTGGTTCCTTGGGGAAAGGGTCTGGGGTACAGTTTCAAGTGACAACTCAAAGGCTGACAGCAACTGTCTGGGGTAGGTGCTAGGAACTACTTGGAGCTCTGGGACGCAGGTCTCGTTGCCCTCCTTGGACACAGCCACATCCAGGTCTGTCAGTTGCCCAAGGGCGGCCTGGGACAGGTGCTTCTCCTCTGATCATCATAACTGCCCCCTGCACTTGGGGTTCAGCAGGGCTATGCACATGCAGGAGCTGGTTTATAAGCACAGGGACCCAGCCTGGGTGGCAGGCTCCCCTTCTCAGGTGAGCTAGCTCAGCCGGAGAGAGTGAAGACAGTTTCTGCTTTCAGGCAAGTGGGGAACCAGGGTCAGTCCCATGCCTGTGCTTTATACAATCGTGTCCCTATAAATCCAGGTCCTCACCCACAACGCAGGGCCTCATTTGTCGCGAGGGACTTGTGGCATCCAGGGCACACCAAGCACCTCTCTGGTAGGAGGCCCAGCATGCCAGAGGCCTGTGGGAAGGACTGAATAAGGGGGGCTATGGAAGCCTGTAGGAAATGTATGTTCTAGAAGAAAAGTGTACACTGCTATTATTAGTACTGTTCATTCATCCATTTATTTCCTGTAGTGTGCATGGCGTCCCTACATAGGACCCGATTTCATGTACTACTTCACCCACTCATTGTGTTTATTGGACAGGAAGCTGAAGTGTGAGCTCAGGGCTCCTGTCTTAGCCTGAAGCCTTTTCTGACATCTAGTCACTCCCCAGAAGATGTCTCCAAGCCAGACTAAGCCAGAGTTCTCTACCAGTTTCTGGTGGGATGGAAGCAACAGCCCTCATGGGGGCAGGGCAAGCTCCCAGGGGCCCAGCTCCTGCGCTCTGTGCCCATCTACCTGGTTGGCATCACTCAGACAGTTGCTGCTGCTGCTGCTGAGCTGGGTGGGTGCGGTGTTGATGGAGGTGAGGGCCATGGGCTGCTGGGCCAGGAAGGTGGGCGAGGGCTGGATGAGGGGTGGCGTATGTCCGAAGGCAGAGCCGAGGCCCCGCTGCTGGCTCAGGATTTGCTGGTAGGCCACAGGGTTGATGGGATGGGGAAAGGTGAAGGCTGGGCTGAAACAGAAAAAGAGATGGAGTGTGCGGGGCCCGTTAGGCAGATGCTCCCTGGGCAGAGAGTACCCTGCTCAGAGGCCCGAGATGGCCTTGGCAAGGGCTGTGCTAACAGCACCACCACTGTGGCTCTGCCTCTTCCAGAGCAAGCAGTGGCTGTCCACGCCCATCACTCAGGCATCACGTCCTATGCTTAGCTCTCAGAGCAGTGATGGGGAGCCTCCAGAGACGAGTGCCAGACTGCAATGGAAAACCCACTTATTCATCACAAAGTGCAACATGCAATTAAACCTGAATACGGAGGTATCAGTTTAGAAAAACAACTCTACATTAACATCTTTTGTCCTGAAAGAGAGGTGCAATAACACGCATGCCATGGTTCACCACCACTGTCCTAGACCTTCCCCTGGGGGGCAGTCTTTGCTCCTGGAGGGCTGCAGGCTTGGCAGGTGCCAGGCTTCATCGCATCCCCACACCTTGGTTTCTGCACTGTCCCACCTCCTGCCATGCACCCCTGCATCATTGCTCCGTGATTCGGACCGCATTGGCCTCCAGAGCCTGTTCTTGTGCCCCTCATCCACACCCTGGCAGGCAAGGCTCACCTGAGGGCACCTGCTGACAGGTGCCCATAGGAGCCACTGGCTGCCGAGCTGCTGCGTGAGTTGTTGATGTAGGCCACCAGCGAGTTGGGGGAGGTCCTTATCATCCGCTGCAGGTCAAGGCTGGCATCTGAGAGTGGAGAGATGGACAGCGCCCGCTTGCGGCTCAGGCGAGGGGTCACCCGGGGACTGGAGAATCGGGACACTGCACAACAGCCAACAAAAGGCGCATCAGCATCACCTGTGTTGGGGGAAGGGTTGATGGCATTGGGAGAGGAAATGGGGGCAGGTAGGTGGACACAGGCAGAGCTTATGAGGACATAGTCTAGTGGGAGGAGACCCAATTTTGGGTCTACTGGGAGTCGCAGCTGTGAGTAGATGGCCAAAGGATGAACTCTGTCCTGGACTCATTTTATTCATCTGTGAAACAGGGCTGACCAGCACAGGGTATGGTGCAGATCAGTGTGAGTTCACCCGGGAGGCCAGTCCCAGGTTAAGAAACAGGGCACGGTCAGTGTCGTCCGAACTCCGTCTCCCTTCCATAGTGGCCCCAAGGGAAGCCACTGCTATGATTGCAGTGTGGACAGTCATCCAAGTGCCTCTGTGTTGGAGGTGTGCATTGTAGCTGAGTGCTCGCCAGAGGACAGGCGCTGGAGGCTTTTGGAGGTGGTGCCCCGTGGAAGGAAATTAGGCTACTGGGGACGCAGCTTCCAACAGGATGCGACATAAGCAGCTCTGCTCGGCCACGCGCTCCTGCTGCGACGGGCTGCCTTGTCATAGGTCTAAAAGCAGCAGGCCAGTAGGCCAAGGACTGCAGCTTCCAAAATGGAGCCAAAAGAAACCTTTCCTCTTAGAAGCTGATTTTGTCAGGTACTCGTTATGGGGATGGAAAGATGCGGCAGCCATTATCCTGGCTCTTTGCACCCTGCTTGCTGTGGTCTATTTTTGAGTTTACATAACTGAAATACCACTCTTCTTTCATGCCTGGGTTCCTTCCCGTTGTGTGTGGCCGTAACTTTGCTCCTTCTCGCTGCTGCAGAGAATTCCACGGGAGAAGCGAGTGTTAAGTGTTCAGTGCTCCAGAGGCACGGATCATGTTGTGACCTGGGTCATACCAAGGTCTCCGCCACACCTAGGCCGGGCATTTGCCAGGCAGAGACCTGGCTGGCTGCCCTTACGCTCTCAGCATGAAGTCTGACGGGTGGGGAAAGCTGCTGTGACGAGGTAGAGGACGTGGGGAGGGACAGCTGACACGCAGCTACGCTCATCCATGGATTCCACAGGGTTCTAAGGGGGCCTGGGACGCTGTGCTTTAAGTGTGCACACCACATTCCTATACACATCTGTGTAGGAGCATATGCCACCCTTGCACACACACACACACACACACACACACACACACACACAAACACACACACAGGTACACACACATTCCTGCCCCAGCTGGCTGCTCTGTGGACATGCTCTTATCCTTGTGTGCTGCTGCCCCGCTGCTCCCGAGCACCGACCTCATTAGTGGAAGAGGGCCCAGCCCAGAACGGCTCCCAGCACCAAGGCACAGGCCCACCCACTACACACCCACTACGGCTCCAGTCTACTTCTGCATTTTTACAGCCCCTCCTCCTTCCTCAGGATTCTGGATCTCTCTCTGGACACAATAACTTAGAAATTATCTACTCACATCCCTGGCTGGCTCTACCCATCCAAGTTCACCCCTGCCTGGCCCTTCCTGAGCCTGTTTCCTTTTTCTAAAGGGGTCAAATCCCCATGCAGATCTCCAGGGCTGATGTGAGTTAGGTAATGACCTGGTCCCTAGAAGGGCAAGGTGAGGCTTGAACACCCTGTGTGGCTCCCTGTGCCCCCAGGCCCTGCCCAGACTCCCTTCGGTGGTTTCCAGACTCCCTCAGGAAGGCTGCAGAACGCTAACAACTGGGGGCTGATCGGCATCTGTGCTGCTCATGGTGCCCTCCTTCTGCCCTCCTCCCAGGCCTGCAGGGACAGGGCCAGCTGCTCCGGCCACAGGTCCTGCCTCCCTTGGTTTCCTACTCATGGCCCTCATGGCTGTTTGCTCCTGGGGTGCTTCTGACCCACTCCATCCTGCTGGCCTCAAGGTTATGTGTAATCATGCAGGTACTGGGGTCATGTTCCCATCACTGCAGGGCACCAAGTGCAGAGCGGATGGCTGTGAACCTCAAAGGCTCCAACCCACTCCCATGGCCTCCAGAAGGCTGTGGAGCCTTGGAGCGCTGATGCCTCCGGACCCCTTCTGGGTACTGGGTGCATCCAGGTCCCACCCACCTCATGCTGGGCCCAGGCTGGCCACCTCGGGGTGGACCCTGGTCCTGGAAATCCCAGAGACGTTCCAACTGCTAGGCTGCATAAACAGAGAAGTGCTTGGCATCTACGGGCTGGAAAGAGCTTCTGGGGCTTTCTCTACCTTCCTCCTTCATGGACATGGGGAGTGTGAGACCACAGAGAGGAGCACACAGCAGCAAGGGATGAAGGAGATTAGGGTACAGGGATGCAAACCTGTGTTGGGTGAGGCCATGGGGGGTGAGATGGGGTGGGCTATAGCTGAGGCAATTTAGACCCTCAAATCAGCTGTTGAAGACACGGAAACTTGATTAATAACCTAAGCATAAAAATGGGTCACCTGCCAGCTCGGGGGCCGAGGCCCAATAGGGTGACAGGTGTGGGCATGGCCTGTGCATTCCAGCTGTAACTGTCCATGGTTCATTCCTTCTACTGTGTACGTGTCCTTTTTAACCTGAGACATTAAACGATTTGAGGAAAACTTCCATTGGAAGACAAGGTTGAAATCGAATCAGAATACACTTTTCTCTAGCCATCCTTGTCAGCTTCAGTCTTCGTGGCTGGATACTTATTCCTTTAGGCTCTGAAGCCTAAGGCTTGCAGGTCTCTAGCGGACTGGGGGTAGAGATGCTATGGTTTAGCTGTGTCTTCCAGACATTTGCATACAGGAAAAGCCACCCCCCAATTCACAAGTTGATGGCATTTGGAGGTGGGACCTCAGAGAGGGCAGGGAAAGGGTGTGAAGTGGGATTAGTGGCTTTATAAGAAGAGGAGAGACCCCGCCTGGCACACCTGTTCTGTCTTGTCATCGATGCTCCTGTCAGGTTATGATGAGCAGCAAGGCACCTACTAAGTACTACCAGGGCTTGGACTTCCCAGCTGCCAAACTGAGTGACACAAGTCTCTATACTTTGTGAATTTTGTTACAACAAGGCACGAGACAGGTGGGCACACAGGAGCTGCTCCACAGATGCTTCTGGGGACTCTGTGTTGCCTCCCCCACCAGGGCCCAGGAACACGGTAGGGGATTTGCTCAGTCAACCACTCCTTCCTGTTGTTGCAGAAGGGACACCAGCCTACATGCTGAAGATATGGGGACACACAGGTGGCTGACCTGGCAGCCCCATGCCCATGAGCCTGTGCTCTGAACAAGGGTGCCAGGCAGCACCAGAGCCAGCATATGTCCTTTGTATGTGGCATTTATTAAGTCTTGATTCTGAATTCTTTTTAAAAACATTATATTTAAATTTATTTATTTATTTGGTACAGGGTCTCGTTATGCAGGTTGGACTTGTAGTGATTCTCCGGTCTCAGTCTCCTGAGTGCTGGGAATACAGGCATGCGCCACCATACCTGGTTTCAGGATTGGCGGGGCAAGTGGTACTAGGGATCAAGCTCAGGTCCTTGCACTTGCCAGACAGGCACTTGGACTGCCAAGCTATCTCCCCAGCCCCTGATTCTGAACTCTTGAGTGATTAATAAATAACACAGTGACAGCCCCTCCTTTAGTGATATGCAAGCTTGTGGTCTCACTTTGAGCTAACACCATCTGATAGCAGCCTTACAGATAAAGAAACCAGGCGTGGGGGGGAAAGCCTTCTTCTGGACCCAGGTCCAAAGGAACCCCACTGTGTGGGTCTTCTGCGGACTCAGTGTCCACTCTTTCTTCACACGAGTGAGAGGAGCTGAGACTCAGAAGGCACTGCCTTCCTGAAACAGCTTTTGAGATCTGCTTTGAACTGCTGCAGAATTAGCAGCCCTGCTGGCCTGGCCTGTCTTGCAATGGTGGCTCCGGTCAGCATGCCTGCCGCCCCCTCCACTCTGCACTCCTGTTCTGGCCCACTCAGCGCCCACACAGGAGCCCGATGCCTGCTCTCCTCCCCCACTACAGTTGAGCCTACTGGGGGGAGGGGGCTGCTCATTCTTCCCCCAACCCCCTTTCTCTCCAGTCCACTACCCAGCCCAGCCTACTGCTTGCTCAGATCATTCTAGAGCCCCTTAATTAACTGCTGTCCAATCCACATTCCCCACCTTGGGAAGCTTTCCAGCTTGCAAATCAGATCATATGCCCTCTCCTCAAACTTTCCAGAGCTCTCCACTGCAGCTTTGACAAGTGCCCATTACTAGGGTGACAAGACCTACCTAGTGGCCCTGGAGGGGGCAGCTGCATTCTGCCTGGCCCCGGGCCTTTGCATGCACAGCCTCCTCCACCCACCAGCTCTTCCCTTTTCGGTGCTCATCTCTCAGCTAAGCAGTCGCCCTCGGCAAGAGGCCTTCCCCAGCCTCCTGAGTCAGGCAGACGTTCCCTGTGGCCAGGCCGTTCTCTCCCAACGAGAGCCACACTGGTGCATCTGCACTTCCTGTGTGGTTACATACTTGCTTCTGTCTTTCCTTTATGAATCAAGGACACTGATCCTTTCCCTCTGGCCAGTATATCCTGAAGCTCAAACACAACACTCACCTGCAGTGAGCCCAGGTGAATAAGCCATGCGCTGAACAAAAGGCATAGCCATGCCATGCTGGAGGGCAAAGCCACCCCACCGAGGTCAAGCCCTGCTGAGAGCCAGGGCAGGTGGAGACTGGGATCAGGGCAGGCACATGGACGCCGAAACACGGTCTCTGTGCTATGCCCTGGGTGGGAGAGAGGCTCTCACGGGAGAGGAGACTATGAGGTGGAAGGAGAGAGAGACAGACTGACAGGCGCATGCACAGCACGGAGGTGACAGGGAGGCTGTGTTGGCCAGCCAGCCCCAGCCCTGGACACAGCGCTTGGTGCCCTGAGCTCTTCTTTCCCATCTATGATGCGGGCAGCCTGGCTTATTTTGCACAGTTGCTGGGAGAGACGCCTCCGGAGTGCTGAGGATTGTGCCCGCAACCCACAGGAGCTGGGAGGAGGGTGTGGCGACCAGGTAGGTCTTCAGTTAATAG